TATATATATATACATATATATATATATATATATATATATATATGTATATAATTAGACTCGAGTGGGATGCCTCGTGAAGCATTATCGAAGTGGTGTGATGTGACCAAATGATTTTCCATGTTATATATTTCATGTTCGGTCCAAATCCAATTATCATATTTCTAAATTTATAATATATTAATTAAATCGTAATGACGAGTGCCCCGACAAAAAAGTGCTTGTCGACACTTGCATGACTCACCTTGTTTTGGATGCAAACTATATGCTTTTTTTTCCATCACATATATTCTCTGATAGGGACGATTGAATTATCCCGATTATTATATTCGATTATATAATGTCAAATTAATTTCTAATTGCTGTTTCGGATCGTTCAATTTCTACCGTTTTCAAATAGCGGAATTTTTATGTCAAATTCTCATTTTTTTCTTATTTTGTATTTGTTTATTGACTTGCTCCCTGCATTTTATTTTTATTTTTTCTATTACAAGTACTTTCCGTCAATCTAAGTAAGGAACAATAATATATGAAGTATTGGAAATCAATCATGAAATATGCAAAATTCGGACATAACCCTAGATCAAGTCCCAAGAACAAAATGTCTGGAGAAGCCCTGGTCTTTTCTTTGATCAGTTACATACTTCAGCCGTTAGATATACACAAGAAAGTGATAACCATTAAGCAGCTGTAAATAAAATAAAATTAAATGTTTATTCAACAAGTGATCTTAAAAAAAAAAACCAAAAACAAATAATTGTTTCTACTTATTAATGGAGAGACCGGTTGAGCATAGAGATCTGGCCAGAGTCTCCATTCAACAAGAACACTTCAAGAGGAATATAAGGGGAAGATGACGATGGTGAAGTTGATCCAAACCTGTAACTCGGCTGCAACAATTTGCTACCTTTGGCACATTGGATTGTCAGAAGCCGAGGCCCTGTTCTCATCTGCCACACCTGTTGGTTAATCCAGACAAGTATATCATCGACTCCATTCAACCAGATTCCGAATTGCATTTGTGACGGGATTGTACCTCGATGATTCCTTTCCGTGGTGCGTGAATGGCTAAGCACAGACAGTAATCGCCCTTAACCGGCTCTGTGTACGAAATAGATTTTCCTTTATCTTTCTTGACTAACATCTCCATGAACACACAGCTAGCGTCTCGGTATCCCTGGGAAAGAGAGTTTTGGTAGCTAAGAGACGTCGAATGAAGAAAAACGATGTCCAGAAAGAAGACTCAGAAAGTGGGCATGAACCTTCCATAGCCGGACCACCACGAGGGCCTGAGTGTCCAGCAGTAGTATCCGACCAAGAGAATCTGTTATTGCAGCAAGTGTGCCACTCGGGGACAGTGTCAACTTCTCGCCCTTTCTCGGGTAGTCCTTTATGCATGTCAACGAGGAAGCTGCATTGCATTTTTCTTAACATGTAAGTAAGCGAAATATGATCATAAGCAATGAGTTCTGTATGTTAACACAGCAATGATTTAAGCCTCCTAACATTGTCAAACTTCCGAGGCAATGCAACGTAAAGGGCACGAAAGGGAATGAAAAAAGTTCATTAGATTATTGAAAAAGCTACCAAATTATCAAATGACATTATAATCAGTTGTATCCCAACAACAAAGATGTGAAAACAGAAGTTTAGCAAGACGATTAGATGGACAAGACATTTACTTCGAAGGATTATTTTCGACCGAATCATGATCAGTTCCTTTCCTTGCTTTCTCAGAAAGAGTTGGTTCCTACCATTGACCCGAAATTTGGGCAAAAGATGTTGAGAGATTGCTTCTCAATTTCACGTTCAAGCATTTCAAACCTCTAAAGGTGTTTGCTTATAGAGAGCAGCAAAAAGGATACAGATGAAATTTACCTCGAGCAAACGATTGAGTCTTTGCTTGAGGCTTTTTCTTCGGAGATTGATCACTTCTCCATATCATTTTAGAAAAAGAAGCTATGGTTGAGACTGTTGCCGGCACAACTTTTGAAAGAATGGCCCCAACTAGTGATCTACTTCTGTCTTCGGAGAGCCTTTTTAAAGGGGGAATAAAGAGAGAGAACGTGTTAACGAACAGAACATTACGGATAAATAAGATATGAACGTTGCTGCCAATATTGCTAACCTGTAAGCTGAGATTACAGCATCTTCTCCTATGGTCACTGCACAATAATAACGTTGACTTGACTGTCAAAGAACAAAATCAGCCAAAATTCAAAACCGGAATGATTTCTGAAACGTCTTGTTATTCAATTTTCCACCAGCAGAGACAGTAATCCAACTCAAGCCTATGATAAGCAGAAACAACATTCGGATTCATTTCAAATATCAAATTTACGAAAAATTCTAAGACAATCAATAGGCTATTCGGACAAAGAATAGATAGGCACTCAGTCACCTGAAGTTCCAGCAATGGAGGAGGCATTATGCCAGTGATAGCAGCATCTGCACAAGTTCCATACTTGTTCACGTTCCATATCTGATACGGTAACCGCTGGTGAGAATTTCCAGGTTCATCTGAACTACCCTTCTTACTTTTTTGGTCCCAAAAATGTGAATTTGATTCTTGAAACCATTTCTGAAGCATGCTCTACAGGCAAACGAAAAAGTCCACAGGTCTCAGCTCTTATTACAATTAAAAAAAACACTCCCAGAAAAAGAAAAAAGAAAAACTGGAGAGGGTTCGAGTTGCATTGAGATAGGAACGGATCCATTTAGATCTTTTGATCAATTGGCTCAACAGGAAATATGAGATTGACAACAAACCTGAATATTCGACCCGTCGAAGCGGGCAATGATACCGGGCATTACAATGCAGAACTCTTCGGAGGATGTCTCTTGGATTACATCTTTCTTAGTTCCTCGTACTCTTAGTTTCAAGATACGGCTGGGATATACCAACTGTAATAACACAATATTCAGATACCTCACCAACAAGATTGCTTGAATCCAAAGCTAATGATCTCAACTGGTAAACCCCAACAAAGAAATTATAGCGTTAAGCACAATGGTTCTTTTGATACTAAAATGTTCTACAGTTCATCATAATCACACCAGACAAGATCATGGGTTTTAATCTGAAAATTCAACTTCTCAATCCAAAGTTCCATACTTCCATTCACAAATGAACTCGTACCTGCTTGTGTATGAGATCACCGGCGAGAGAGTAAACCAAAAGATACCCACAAGAGGTCCCGGCAGCGATAACTCTGACATCATCGAAAACGAGCCACTCGATCGCCGTGATCGACTCGGCCTCGATCGGAGACAAATCGGGTCTGATCTTGACTCGCGGCGCGTCGGGATCGGCCCAGGTGACGACCAGGATGAGAAATCGATTGGCAATAGCCAGAGAATGCGAATCGAGCGCGCAGAGAAGGTTCGGGTCATCCACGAGCCAACCTTCCTTGCCCGCGCCGAGCTCGCTAAGCTCCTCGCACGCGATGCAACCAAGCTCCGTCAGGTGGATCCGTTTCGCCATAAGGAGCTCCGAGGGCGTGGTATTCGGGTCCTAAGAGAGTAAAAGCTTGGTTCTTTCTTATGGCTTTCGGATCGGACTATCGCAAAACGACGTCGCAGCTCTCATCTCTATAATCTATTTACCGCTTTCCTCGTCCTGTAGTGTTTTGGTTTTAGAAAATGCTGCGTCAAGACTTGGCCTTCTCCAAAACCCTGAACCCTAGCTTCTTCCCCTATCCGCAGCCTCTACCCAGCTCTCTCCGCCGAAGAAAAACCCTCAATTTTGAGTACCCATTTCGTGGGGGATTAGTTTTGGCGGTTTCCGGTGGAGATTTCCCGTCTCCGGCCGAAATCCCAGCGCTTTCCCGCAAAAATGATGGCGAATTCCGGCGAGACGTGCGGACGATGGCGGGCCGGAGCAAAAATAAGCCCGGAGGCTCCTCCGGCGGACGGATTGAGGGAAACGCGGAGATGAGACGCGAGGCGAAGCGGAACGCGCGAATCAAGTCGAAGAAGCTCACCGAGTCTCTGTTTTACAGACTGTACAATAACCCTAACCGTAGTCGCCGTAGCATCCTCAGTAACCATCCAGACAAGTTCACGGAGGAGGAACTGGAGATGATAGGGCTTGGGTACGACCGCATGGTTCGGTTCATGGACAAAGACGACCCGAGGTTGAGACATCCGTACGACTGGTTCAAGTACGGAGAGTTCGGGCCGTACTCATGGCGTGGCGTTGTGGTTGGCGACCCTGTTCGAGGGACACTCTCCGACAAGTGTGTCAGCATGATGGGTGAAGTGAAGGACCATGAAGAATGGGAAAAGATCGAGCAGCATGAGATGAACACTGATTTCCAGAAGAGGGTGACACAGTTGGATAAAGGTGTGGGCTTGAGGTACTTTTGGGTTTTCGCTAGACACCCGAAATGGAGGCTTGAGGAAGCGCCATGGCAGCAATGGTCATTGGTGTGTGAAGTGGTGGTGGAAGCAGAGAAGAACAAGAGGCTGGACAAGTGGAACTTGATGGGGAGATTGGGAAACAAATCCAGATCCTTGATATGCCAATGCGCAGCATGGTTCAGACCCGACATTATATACGTGAAGAAGCCTGTTTTCCAATGTCGTTTCGAGCCACAAGACGATTTCTTTAACTCGATCGTGCCTTATCTCGACCCGAGAACAGAGTCGGGTTTCTTGTTCGAAGTGGAGGATGAAGATGGTAGAATAGAGATGTGTACTTACTATGGAGGGTTGTGTAAGATGGTGAAGGTGAGACAGAAGGCTTTTGTGGACGATGTGGTGAATGCGTATGAGAAGTTGAGTGATGAGAAGAAATCAAAGGTCTTGAAGTTCTTGCTCGGAAACCATCCGGTTAACCTCTTACATCCTTACACAAAAGAGTGGAAGGCTAAGCTGGAGGAAATGGAGCTCGGGTGCGATGCTCCGGACGAAGATGAGGATGAGAGGAACATTAAGGGGAACTCGGGAGAGGCTGAATTCACTGAATGGGTTGAAGATGAAGGTGGCAATGATGACGATGACATTGATGAACATGATCATGATGATGATGATGATGATGATGATGATGATGATGATGACAGCATTGATAGCATGGTTGTGGATGGGGATTTGGAAAATGATGAAGAGGAAGTTGATGCAGAAGAGGATGAGAAGTATTGGGAAGAGGAGTTCAAGAAAGCGGTTAGCAGTGCAGAGAGAATGGAGAAGCTTGCGGAGAGGAGTATGGAGTTGTCGAGTAGGTTCTATGAGAAGCAGATGAAGGCAATGGAAGCAAGAACGAGGGAAAACGGAGGGTTAGGAGACGGCGATGGGGATGAGTTGGCAATGAGAGGTAAGAAGGCGAAGGTCAATCCCGAAGAATGGAAGATTCTCGGGTATGGCAGATGGAAGAAGAGGATTAAGAAGAGCAAGATCCCGCCCGAGCTGTTCCTGCGTGCTGCGGTTAGGCCGTTCACTTACAGGAATCTTGTGAAAGAGATTGTTCTAACAAGGCATGCCATTTTGGAAGGCGAGATTGGTGCAAAAGAGTGATGAATTTAGGGTTTTGAATACCGCAGGAAATGAGAGATATTTATGATCAGCTAGCATCAATTGAAACTATGTCGGAGTTTCAAAACTTCATGCTTGTATTGATTTGTGAAGTGGGAATACGATATTCTTGTTGTCATGTTTTGTTACGCTGCAGGTCATGTATCTAAGTTTTTAATTGTATCTGATCTCGGCCCCGTCCCTTCAGATTCCTGGCTACTCGACCTCGTGGGTCGGATACCCGAGTTGGCACATCATTCATGCCCCCTAGTTGCCTTGTTGCGCATCACTCTACTCCTTTCCCCTTCAGCTCGACCCTTACCTCTCTCCACCTCTGCCCCTGTTTCAGGTTATCCACGGATACATTATAACCAATTGACACAGCTCAGGTTCTCGTCGACAAAGAACCTGATCTTGGGCTCTCAGTGGGGCTCAGGGTTCGAGGGACAGGTACCCACGAGAGTTCGGATCATGACGTCCACCCCTAAAAGGTGGAAAAGGTAAACATTGATGGCACTGTTTGTGTTCAACAGAAATACAAAAAAGACAACATCTTTGATTGTTTGAAGACAAAAGCAAGGTCTAGGCGCAGTGCAAGAGATGACTTTCAGGGTAGTTCAAGCAAAACATGGCGATCAAAGCTATGTACAAACCAAAAACATTTAGGCCTTCATTAATGTACTTCACTTCAAGAAGCAAAGTAGTCCTCCGGCGTATAAAACTTCAGTCCAATCGCCTGCAACCAAACGAATTTCACCGTTAAGCAAATGAATTCAGGCAGAATTTGAATCAAGTTGTCCGGAGGAGAAGACAAACGGATCTCTGTAACATAAATTACATGGGCAAATTTTATGTCAGCGTCACTATGGTCGTCTTTTCTTCCGGCTGCATCGCCAACATAGAAGGATCTGAAGCAGAGAGAAGACGAGAGTCAGAGATCCAATGCATGCAAAACTGATGAATACAGATCCATAGAAAAAAATTTGGAGTAAACTAACTTCTCCATGTCAATCTCAATGCCAGAGTTAAAATGATTCTTCAGGAGTTGCCACATTCCCGTCTTGGGTTTGCGGTAAACGTCTTCTTTACCGTCAGATATAGCGACTCCACATGCTATAAACACCTGTATCCCCACACAAAAAAAAACGTCAAATATTACAAGCTCTTATTGGTAAACAGGTACAAGGAAGATGCAAAGGGAGAAGAAGTTTAAGACTTGGACCTGAATAGGGACCTCCACACGATTGATAAAGTTGTTAAGCCGCCCGATTTTTGAGTCCACAGCTGCTTGTCTCTTGTTCTTCCACCGATCAATGTTGGACTCGTTCGTGAAAATTACCTTCGCATTGCCGTCATTAAAGTTACCCAAACAAACGAATACGCCATTAAGATGGAATTTGAACAAAGAGAAGTTACCAGTTTGTAGCCTTGACTATACAAACTCTGCAGTTTCTTGGGAATGGAAGGGTACATAAGGGACCATGCATCCGCCCCTACTCTGATAAAGAAAAAAAAATGACTAATAGAATCAGACATTAACGTGTTTCTGATTTTGCTTTCATGTTCTTTACCTTGGGTGTACTCACATAAAGAATCAGTAAACCAGACAGAGGATTATGCCATAAAACCCTCATCATATCTCATGATAAGGCTCATATCATAAAACAAGTATATTATGTCAAGTATGAAAAACCATTATACCATAGCCTTTTGATGTAGATAAACCAACTATTGGAAATCATAATTGGAAGGTCAAGAAATACGTTGAAAACAGATAACAAAGCAGAAGATAGGATTCGTACATTTTAACAGATGTTTTCGCTAGGCATCCATCAAAATCAAATGCAGCAATTTTATCCGAGTCATGGAGACCGTCATCCTGTGAAGATGCAACATCCAAAGGTATCATTAGAGCATACTACAGTACCATTTGGCTTAGCATATCACCTAATTTTTTTGTCAGGCCCTTCCTCATATCTGAGCACTCCTTCTCACCTTTTCGAGAAATATTACAGTCTGGAAAGCTTTCCATTTTGGTAAGAGATTTGCATCCTGAACGGGAAGACATCATCATTCAGGACGAGAAAGAGCATATGCTAAAATTGCAAACATGTGAGAAAAAAAATTAACAATGAAATTTTAGGAATCAGATGATGCATACCCTGTACTTGTCCTTGATATCAGAAACTGAAAGAGAGATTTTCGCTTCAATTTCAGCCTGAGACGTTAATGGTTCCATCACTTTCGGATGAGAAAAATGCTGATAAATTTCCAACTTGGGACAAAAAAAAAGTGTAATCGCCATGCAAAGCATATTGCTGCCCACGTACCTTAGGTTTTCTTGTGCTCTGTTGATCAACCTTAGTTCCTTCTGTCTCCTCGATCTTCTTAGGCAATGACAAAGTGCAAATCACAGATCAGTACAAATTCACTTTACAAGAGAAAATTATAAGGCACGGAAATTTTCCTAGTCCAAGAACCTGAGCATGTTTCCTTTTGATTGCCTCATCAGAGAACTTTTTATCTGCCCCCAAGTCATCATTGTCTTCATCAGTCTTATGTACTCCCTGCTGGAGAATGAGCACAAAAATGTTAGTTTGGAGCATCCCAAGACATCAAAATTTCCCAATTTAAGCGCTAAAATTTTGCTGAGGGCTAGGATTTCGGTTTGATATAGTGACAAGTTCATTTTTAACACAGGAAATCAGCAAGCTATAGATGCATGAGAAAATACAATACTTTCTATCGAAAGAAGCAGCATTATAAAAGAGATATTTGCTTGTACACCTACCACAGGCTTCTTGCCGCAGCGTTCCACCAATCTCTTTAATGCATCCTGTTCATCATTCTGCAATGCGAAAGCAGTTAATAAATGTGATGCTATATCCTTTCGCTAGTTCGGACATTTTAAAAACGAATAAAGGGAGATACAAGTTAGAAAATTTCTACAAACTTACCAGCTAATCAGAATGGAAAAATCAGTAGGTTTTCAACCACAAAAAGCAAATGAAATCTAAGGCACTTACAAGAACAGATCTTTTTGTAATAGTTTTTTTACTGTACAACAATTAGCAGAATGGCCCGTGAAGAAAGGATAGATTCAACCTTTTCTTCTTTGTTGTTTGTTAAGGTATGATTAGAACCCACTATGACCTTTAAGAAGGGAGCGAGAACCCAAATCACTAGGACAAGGGCCTTGCTCCACTACATCCATCTTTCTTATGTAATTGGTACTACTCGTACTCGACATGACATGCCATTAGTTATCTTTAGAATCAACTACACATTTAATATTTAGCAATTTTTACTGGATACTGGAAATTGGAAATGGTATCGTCGTTTGCTCATCTATGATACCATCATAGTATCATACCAGTTACCACAGGGCAAATGAGATCATATCTAATCCTACCCACCTTGAAAATATCTAATCTGTAATTACAAGACAAACCTGCAATGAAGAAAATCCACTGATGCTCTCAGCGGAATTAATTGGATCTGAGTCAATGGGAAAACAATCCAAGTGGTGCCATTTGGTCGTTTCAAAACCCCGGAAGTCTCTAGTCACCAGCCCCAACCTCAATGTCTTTGCCGCGATTGTCTGAGAACACTTCTTACACGATGATCTGTTCGACTTTGCATACTCGGCTATAATCTTTGCAGAAGGAGAAGGAGAACCCACTTTCTCCTTGATTTTCTGCTTACTTTTGTCATCTGGTGCGGTTTGCTCATTCTCGACGCCCTTCTCATCAACCTGCTTCTACACGAGTTTAGGGAATGTAAGCAGTAAAAGAAGAGCCTTCACGTGAAGTTTCCATCAAAAGTCAAAAAATGGCACTGAAAAGAGCACAGAAATTAGCAGCATTCCTCCTCAATCCCTACCTCTTTTGCAGGCTCGCCACATTGTTCAATCAATTTCGTCACCGCATCTTGATCATCCTTCTGCGACCATAAGCACACGAATTACCAAAACATACCAAAAACTAGAATCAGAATCGTAAAGCTTACACCTTTTTATCAGGGTGCCGAACATGTTAATTCTACACTACAACTAAGAAGCATTAAAACCACATGCAACCCAGAGAGAATCAACACGACACCTCTAAAGAGGAGAATCCTTGGACATCTTCAGCGGAAGCAACCGACTCCGAATCGGTCGGAAAACAGTCCAAGTGATGCCATCTGGTCATGTCGATCCCACCAGGCCCCTTGGTAATTAATCCTAATCTCAGCGTCTTCATAGTGATCGTCTTCGAGCACGACTTGCAAGTCGACCGGTTCGATTTCGCGTACTCGGCGGTGATCGGCATTGTCTCCAGAGACGACTTGTTCGTCGTTCTTCCAAAAGAACAGGGACAGAGATACAGATTCCGTTTTGGGTAATGGAGATTAGAACAAAGAAGACTCAGAAGATGGAAACGAGGAGAGGGGCGAACAATGTGGATGGTTACCATAAGGGAGGAAATGTCTTTTAGGGTTCTTACTTCCTCCCTTGTTCCCGCCATTTGAAGAGGGCGCCGAATTTCCAAAGAAACAGAGAATAAAAGGGCCTTAAAGTAAATACAAATTAGTTATTTTCTCAAGCGACTCTGTACTTTTCGATTTGTTACAAATTCGACCCAAAAGTTTAGGGAATTTATCAACCCAACTAAATTTTGCTTTGCTGTCTTGAAATTTGTTTCAACCTCATGAATTGAAGCTTCTCTTTTGTGTCGGCCCTCGACATTACCATATAAATATCTATTAGTGTTGCATAATCATATAAAAAAAAGTCTAATCACAAAATTTGATAATTAATTTTGTTTTAGCGTAAATTTATTGAATAAATATAAAAATGTCATGTATATACACATATTTATTGTAAATACAGATTATAAATAGTGATAGTTTTTGGTTTAAAATTTTTATAGTTTTTCCAAAATCGTAAAATGGATTTATGATTTTTATTTGATTTTTTCAATAAAATGATTTTTCGAGTTTTAAAAACAAATCTACAATTGGATTTTATTTTGCTTTTTAGCTTACAAAATCCAAGAAATTTATAACCATTCAATGCCATACCATGGAGGAGACACAGAAAAACACAAACTGATTAGGAAAAAACAGCCATTTGTTCCTTTACATGCAAATAAATACATAGGTTGATACATTTCATTCAGTCTTCTTCTTTGTTACAGTTGAAACATACTTGCAAATTTATCCCTTTTTTCGCGTGTCACTCGCAGGCTAATTTTGTGCCAAAGCTCGTAAGGCAAATAGCAAAGGCTTGGAATGCCGATAATGGCTGCCTGTAATCCATTGTGAAAGTATCTTCCCCGACCTTACCGAACTGGAGAAGCACCGTCTCCTCGTCACCTTTCCCGCTCGGTTGGCTCTGGTCCACAGTCGCAACCAGCTGAAAGTTCTTAACCGATGCCACTGTCACTCTTCCATGGAAGTTCAAGCACCAGCACTGTAGATGCTCGTGCCATCTCGGAGCTTTGTTCTTCAGTATAGTCTGTCCCATCTTGGGTTTCTTCATCTTGGCAGCAGCATCGGGTGATTTCTGCTCGGGGGAAGAGCCACCCCCCGAAGACGACGGGGATGAGATCGGGCATTTAAGCGAACATACCATTCTTCTTGGACCTCTCGATTTTAAGAGGTTGAATTTGTACGACACTTGCCCGACTTCGTAGTTTCCCGAGAAAACTTGGGGGCTTATTTGCTTCGATGCAAATCTCCGACTTGCCCTGTGACTTGAGGGTTTTGCTCCGCTGTGCGGCGATTGGCTGTCGTATACTGTGAAGTTGGTCCCGAGGAAATCCGATCTGCGAAGCATTTTCAGACATCCCCCTCAGACCGTTTATTTTCGATTCCACTTTTCGATTCTGGGGAGCAAAGAAAAATCGTACTGGATTTTACCTTAGCTTCCCGATGTAAGCGTTACTTCCTTGAGAGAAATCATCAGCATCAAGTGATATAATATATTCAGTATAGGCACCGGTCCTGAACCTTCGTGCCGCCAGAAGAAACTTGCCCTTGTCAGTGAACGCTGGTACAAAAGAATATACAAAACAGAAATGTTGAACGTTGAAATTGATTCTTTCATTTTTTGCTCTGAAAACAGAGGCGGAGAATCAAAGATGTGGCCATGGAACAATAACAAATCTCTATGGCCATGTTAACCAAATGAACTACAACCTAAAAATCCAACAAATCTGCAGTTAATCTTACCTACAACAGTATAAACTTTACGACAATTGCATAAATGCACGGTTCTTTTAATGCTTTATATTGTAAAATCTTGTCTTCCATGGCACAAACAAGGACAAGGAAAGGGTTAAATGCCTTCTTACCCATCTGAGGCAGTAAAAAATTCGTTTCAACATTTATGAGATCAAACAAATTGGTCAACCAGAAGCTCAGAATTTTCTCCCCCATCCCCCAGATCAATACAATGGTCAACATTTATTTAAGATGAATTATTGGCAAGTTTCTTCATTGACCGGTGAAGTGATTGTTGGATGAAAGACTTAGACAAACTCAAACTAATACGTATAAAGAAAGTCATAACATCACTCGCACTCATAACCAAGAAAAAAGAAAAAAAAGTCATATTTGCAGGTTCTGACTGAATCAATTTTCTCTCTTTCATTTCTAACACATGCATAATGCAGCTGATGGAAGTTTCATGGAATTGGTATTGAATAAATTCCCAGAAAATGATTTGGATTCTAAACGATCATATAGAAGAAAATGAAATCCTAACAATTCACTTGGCAGAAGAAAAATGTACACGACGATAAAAACGGTTACTTACATGGAGAAAGAGCAAGATACAAGTAAAAAGTTGATGTCTTCTTATTCCTTCTTATAAGACACTGATTCGGAAATTCTCGAGGGCCAGGCTGCATAACCGAGGAAAATCACAAATAGCAAATCTAAAATATTATTGAAAAGGAAAGCAAATATATGAGGTTGAAGGTAATACACAGGATGAAACTTTGGCCTATTGATGGCATCCAAGCAATTCACAGGATGAAATTTTGGCTTATTGATGGCATAAAACGTCAAGAACATACACCATTCCTGATGCTAAAACCTCGAGAAGACACCAGATGAAAAGCATTTGGGAATTGCTCCAACAATCTAATTTCCCGATACAATTAACAATATTTCCCAGTAATTTGATAGAAATCACGAGGAGATAAGACCAATTCCCCTAAGCATTCTACCTAAATATTATCATGTTACGTGCATTTCCTCCCACAACCTTATTCGACCCTGTTTTTCTTCTCCCATTATTCTCAACAGTGGCCATGTTCGTAACCCTAAATTACGCATCAATCGTGCACCCAATTCCATACATTAGCTGACAAAGTTTACTGAACTATGGCTGAAACGCAAAACGCACCCAAATTTTTCCCATATCCGCAGTTTTTATATGATTAAAACAAATTCTAGAATTGAAAAATTACAAAATTACAGAAACCAAGGATGATACCGTGTAACCCTAATCAAACATATCAAACACCCCATAATTCAAGCAAACGCATAAAGTTACGGAATCTATGCCATCCGTAGATACAATTCAGTCAAATCGGCAAGCAAAAACAGAAATCGAAGAGAGGGCCACGAAGAAATCTACCAATTTGAGACAAGAAGGGAAGGTGATTTTTCCGGAGTTATCAGGAGATCTAACAATCTCCTTGGTGATCTCCCTCCACTTCTTCGAAACGCAGGCGCAGGTGACAACGTCTCGCCGCTGTGGCCACCGGTCCTCGCTCCCCTCCACGCGGCGAATGATCTCCCCGAGCAATTCCGGTAGCATCGCCGACCACGACCCAGCCACGTCCAACTCCGGCGGCACCGCCTCGTCGGCATCGGCGCCGTCCATCGCCGCCGTAGTTTCGTCCTGTGGGTCCCTGAACGACCGCGAGACCCTTCGAGAGAGGAAGGATCGTCGCATAGGCATTTGCGGGGAGAGGGGACGAATTATCGATCTGTATAGAGAGAGAAAGGGGATGAGAGAAACCCAACGTGCCAAATCTGAGGTGGATTGGAGTGACCTTTTCGCTAAAACGACGGAGCGGTGAGAGGTGAAATAGATGACAGATGTGCCAACATGGACGTTTTAACACGTGTCAATTTATTAGTGGTCATACCATGAAGGCTGTGCGGAAATAGATTCTACGTATTTCGAGGCTTTTGGGCCTTTTTTTTTAAATAAAATTTGTGAATCGTGGAATACACCGTACATCAGTAATTACTAATTTTCGAATGAAAATGATTCGATCGGTCCATTAAAATCATCTAACCATAAATGATAGATATTCCCCATGCCTGCGGTTATTTCTTCCATTATTCAAACCATATGATAGATATTCCTTAAAAACAAAAAATATAGTATGTGGAAAATGTTTAACAGGAGGAATTTCATATTGAAAATTATACATGCGTTATATATATAACGCCATGAACAAAGCTATTAAAATTAGGGCTCAAGGTTGGGTATAAATATATTCTTATTTTGTTACATTACAATCGAGCATTTAGAATTGCGGTTTAAATAGATCGATAAAAAAAAGAATAATCTAATAATTTGTTCACTACAAAAAAACCTACATATAGCGACGGAATTTGCGACGGAAATTTCCGTCGCACCGAAAATTGAGACGGAATGTGACGATTTTACGACAGAATGTGGAAAAAAAATTATCCGTCGCAAACAGTCGCAAAATCCGTCGCAATTTGCTACGGTTTGCGACAGATAATTCTGTCACACCAAAAAAATAGATGATTTGCGACGGAAAATAAAAATTGCGACGGATTGCGACGGAAAATTCCGTCGCAATGTATTTGGTTTCGTTTTTCGACGAATTTTTTTGAATTTTGGGTGCGTAAATTAATTTTGTTTTGTGACGGATTGCGACGGAAAATTCCGTCGCAAAACACAATATAAAACCACGAGTCGTCTTCTTCATCAGACTTCAAAGATTTTCGGAAAAAATAAAATAAAATCGCCAATTTTTTTTCTAAATCTCTCCAAAGATCGCCAAGTTTCTCCCATAAGGTAATATATATGTATTTATGTATATATATATGTGTGTTTGATGTGTTTGTGTGTGTTTATGTATATGTATGTGTGTGTAAGTGAATGTGTATATATATGTGTATGTGTGTGTTTATATATGTGTAAGTGAATGTGTATGTATGTGTGAATGTGTATGTGTGTGTGTTTATGTATGTGGATGTGTATATATATGTGAATGTGAATATGTATGTGTATGTATATGTGATTGTATGTGTATATGAATATGTGTATATGTGTGTGTTTATATGTATGTGTATGTGTTTGTGAAATATATATGTGTATGAGTATTTATGTATGTGTATATATGTGTATATGTGTGAATGTGTATGTGTGTTTGTGTATATGAAAATGTGTATATATATATGTATGTGTATGTGTATATGAAAATATGTGTATATATATGTATGTATGTGTATGTATATTTGTATGTGTGTAATGTATGTGTATGAATGTATGTGTATGTGAAAATATATATATGTATGTGTATATATAGTATATAATCTTTTATATTTTTTTTAAAATTTTTTAAAACATTTGCGACGGAATGCGACGGAAAAAATTCCGTCGCAATTTGCGACGGATTTATCCGTCACTTTCCGTCGCAAAACGCAGATTTTTTTCGTCGCATTTGCGACGGATTAACGACCGTTATACGTTTGCGACAGCGCTATACCGACGGAAATAAATCTGTCGCATTCCGTCGCAAATTCTTAATTGCGGCGGATTTCTTTTATATTTGCGACGGATTTTTCCGTCGCTATATAACTGTTTTTTTGTAGTGGTTTCTTTATTCTCCGGTTTAAAATCGGACCAACGTAATAACAAAATAAATCAGACAAGGAGCTATTAGATTACTTCGACACGTAAACAAAACAAATGTCCCAATGCATGTTTGCATGAGATGTGGCGTCGCCACGTTCACTTCACGTCTTCGCTGATCAAGCAACGAACATCATTTCCCTATGTTGTCTTGAGATTATATTTATAAACATTTTATAATGTTTCAATATTACAAAAAACCAATAACCCCAATGTTTTATTGGTTCGTTTTATTCGAAAACTACAAAGTCCTCATTTTAACGCTCACGTGGTTCTTCCTGTCCAAACATGTACGTAGATTTTTCATTAATAGGTTTGTAGTTTGATTTAGGGATTTCTCCTAACTATAACTATTATACTAATTAGCGTATAGATCGATCTCAATTATGATAGATTTGTAGTTTGATTTAGAGATTTTTCTAACTATAACTTATACTAATTAACGTATGGATCTTAATTACGATACACCTTATTCCTCCTGCATGGCGCTGATCCCTTTTTTAATCTTAATACGGATCTTGAAAACATTACCTGGTCATCAAGAATAATTCAAACACACGTGTTACGGTTTCTAAAATTATAATTAATTGTTGGAAGTTGTCTAACATGATCAACCAAAACACGTTTTTCATGTTATTCGAGAGTTCCAACTGTTACGCATGCATTTGTCGTAAACAAAGAACGAACAAACACATATGTAATTTTAGAAGGCGGGGAAGATTTCGGGGTCGTCGCGGATCATGCCCCAGCAATGGACGCCGGTGAGGAGCTTGGCGGCCGCAGTGAGGAACTCGGCGGCCTGGAACGGGTTGAGCATGGCAACGACACCGGTGATGGTAGCGAGGCGGAGATTGTCGGCCATTTGGACGATGTCGGAGAGGCCGAGGATGTGGTCGTCGAGGTTGTCGACCGTTCCCGGCACGAGCAAGGATGCGTTGTCCTGCCAATCCGACGCTTCCTCCGTTATGTCGTTCTCTTCTTTCACCGTCTTGCATTGCAGCACGCTCACCCTCCTGCCATATTTATCCGCTCATATCATATACCCCCAAATGATTTCAAAATAAATATAATTTCCTTTTTGGTGACAACACAACGAATCGACCAAACACCCACAATCATATAATATAACCGAAATCAAGAATTTTCACGAATTGTATTTGTAATGAGTATGATTAGATTAGCTACGTTAATTTTTAGAAAAAAATATCTGAAAATTCTTAAATTTATAATTTGGTGTAATATTACTGTTTATTTCCGAACTTGTATTTTTAAACATAATAATTTATAAATTTATATTTTTTAATATAGTAATTTTTAAAATTGTATTTTTAAATATAGTAATTTCTAAACTTTACTTTGGTCTTAGTGGTATAGACCAAACTGTTAAACAAAAAGTACAAATTCGGGAATAAATAGATGCACATGCTCGTGAATTAATATTATACCAAATTAATTGTTATACCAAATTACAAGTTTATGAATTTTCAAGTATTTTTCCTAATTTTTATGCCAACACATACGAAAACGAAATTTCGCAAAATAAAAAAAAAAAGGATAGAGAAAGGGTTTAAAGACGTGTTAAAAAAACTGAACTGTTATATTCAATGATTTTATACGTGTTCATGAACTCTTGAAGCATTTAAAACTAAATAATAAACGAGAAATTACTAAATGGTACAAGCTCAAAGATAGTGTCACCTTAATTGAAGAGGGGAGAGATCACTGAGATCTCCGATTCGATCCCCAACGATCCTCGACTCGAAGTGGACGTCCGACTCAGTGTACACCAAGTGGAACGCCGCGGTCGGACGCCACCCACCGACCCACTGGAGCGCCCGCTCGAGCTGAGACGACCATGGGGAAGCCACCATGCTCGCCACGTCGGCCTCCGTCACGGAACGCCTGGCCGAGTAGTAGTCCGAGCAGTGGACCATCACCCTCTTCACCGCACCGTGGAGCTCCTCCTCCGCCACGGCTTCCGATGATTCTCCGGCGGCGGAGCGGAAGTTTTTCTGGGCGGAGCGGAGATGGCGGAGGAGGCCTTGGAGCTGCTTGCTCCATGCCTCGTGGAACTTGTCGAAGGTCTCTACGTTTTGGTAGTTCATGTTCTCTCTTTGATTTGTCTCTCTCTCCTCTCTTGCTTGCGTCTGCGTGGTTTGGTTTGGTGTCTGTGAGTGTATACGTACACGAATTTTACGTATAGATTAAGTATTGTACGTATACATGTACACTATGTATATTCTGTGTTTTTTTATGTAATTGAATCTACAGTGAAACATCATCGGCCCATTGCAGGGTGCTGGTCCATTAAACTTCCCCCCTCGGATTCTCTGCAAAGCCCACATCAAGTCTCGGCAGCAAAAACAAAATGATGGAAAAAAGCTGAATGAATCATTCCGAACTTTGATTCTGTCTCATCGAACTTATACGTATGTGTTTGATTCTCATGTTACCATTATTTATTTCTATACAATATATATATATATATATATATTGTATATAAATGGGTGTAATGAATCCATTAGTCGTTAATTGGAGGTGGTGTGGAATCCACTAAAATTTTCTTTTGTTTTGGGAATTATCCATTCTTGTAAATTCGCACAGAAATTCAAATAATTCCCTTATCGTTGGTTTCCAGCGTTCAGAAAACGCTATGCGTCGCGTTAGGGAGAAGGTGGACCATGCATGGTTGCATGCACTTCCAAGGCAACAGTATCTCCTATTTTGCCTTTTTCCCGTTGCGTAGGTTTAGGGTTTATTATGGGTCATAGCTCTCTCCTTTGAAATTCCAATTCTCGTGTCTTCTCCCCTTGAAACCCGGAAAATAATTGCTACGTAGAAATTATAAATGTGACAGCATGCACTCCCTTATCTTATCTCATAGATTTATGTATCAATTTATAATCTAAATTCGATCTTAGCATCTAACAAAACACAGTTTGATTATTTCTTTCTTTCAATATTGTGGAAAATATCAAATTTCAAATTTTGTTCAGTAAGATTTTTTTTATAACCATATGGTTTCTCGAGCCTTCAACCCCTCTACATCCACCCTAGGTACGAGACCAACCTTTATATATGAACCATTTTGTTTCAGAAAATAACATTTCTCTCTATCAGTAGAATCGAACCCAAGATCATGAGGATAATTTTGTCAACTCTCCTGAATTACCAACTGTTGGGTCATTTAGGTAAGATTTATTTATTGGTCATCAAACATTTAAATGTTGGAATATTTGTAGTAAACTATGAATTCAACTTTTCGAATATAGATATCAAATCATAGCTATAAAACGTTATTAGTCAATTGTATGATCTAATTTTCATTAGTCAATCCATTGATATACAATGTTTTTATCATGAAATTAATAAACTTTTAATATTCACATTTCATAAAACAAAAAAGTTAATTAACTTCCTGATCAGCGTTGATACCAAGTCTCGGTGGTCATTTTCTCGATTAAATGCGATCTTAAGTGAAACACATAAGCATAGAAACGGCAATGCAATTTCGAAAACGACACCTCAATTAAATGTAGATCCATGCTCCTAAATTGACGATCATGTCCCTATATGTGATGCAACTTATATATATATGAGTTTTTTTTTTAAATATTTATTCGAAAGTAGATCCAGGCTAATTAATTAATTCGATTTAAAAATTTAATATTAGCTGATTTAATAGATCAGATCCGATTGAATTTAATTATATATATATCGAAATATCAACATCTATCATTAATTAGCTACCTAATCTCTCGTTTTTTCGACGAAATAAAAATAATAAACATTGAAAACATAAATATGGAATACCGAAACTCAGTTAAAGCAAAATCATTATTTAATCTGCATAGTCTTTAAAATTCCAACTCTGATACTCTCATCCCGGTTCAATTTCTCCATAAATAAATTGCCCATTTCCTCACACCCCAAAAGATTGTCCCTTTCGTCGCATATACATATTTTTATATTCATATCACAATCGCCGATTTCATATATTATATACATAGATTATTTATGAAATAAAATAGAAGTCTATCTATCACTAACAAAAAAGACAATTCGCTCCGTGTGGTTTATTTGGTACGTGCATTAATAATTGTAACATAATGTTTACTATAGTTTGTTACGTAAGCATTTCTACCAAAAAAAATATTAATCATACAATACGAATCTTATATCTAAGGAATATAATTTAAACTAAAAAAGGGTAATAATAATTAAGGAAGAAAACAGGCGTTGATGAACAAGAGACAGCTTGGAGCCACGGCTTAAATCAGCGTCCGCTGTACGTGGGCCCTACAAGCTCAAGTTGTGCCACGTGTCATACGCTGGCCCCACTCACACGACATTGAACGGTACGAGCGCTCGTATACAAATCAAAGATTCCGTGTAATTACAGGACCAAATACATTTACTCGTACCGATTGTCTGACCGTAGACCGATACGTTTCATATTGCATAAGATCTCAAATCTTCTCTTTTTCCACGAAATACCGAAACTACCCCTCACGCATCTCGAGACCTTTTACAAAGTGAGGTCACAACGGCCGGTGTAAATACCCTCTAGCCACTGAGGGTGTTTTAGGAAATGCGTTCTTTTGAACTTCCCAAGGCTCGCTCTCTCTGCGTCTCTGTCGTTGTCCTATTTAGTAATTTTCAACAATTTTCTCCTCTTCCCTCTTCTTCCCTACCATTTCTCCTTCAACTCTCTCTCTCTCTCTAAGGCCCTCTACGATTTCTCTCTCCTCAACGTCTTCCTTCTCGAGCTCCGGGTTTGTGTTGAATCTTCACAAACTGTGTTCTTTTTTCCCCTTCGTTTTTGTTGTGAGTTACGAAGGAGACATTTGGTAGAAAAAAGGGCAGAGATCTTCCGGCAGAGTGTTTCTCGTAAAGATTCGAACTTGTGATCATTCTTCTGGTAAATGATTGGATTACATTATTGCGTTTAAGTTTTTTTTTTTATCAGTAAGGGTGAATGATTGGAAGGTTCATGCCGTTGGCTGTGGGCCTTTCTTCTCATTGTTGTTAGCTCATAACAATAATGCTGTATATAAGCATTTGCATCCGCGTGTATATGTATATCGTTGTCATTTCTTTATGTATGTATGTATGGTCGGTTTCTCGGTAAGGGTCTCTGATTTTCTTCTTCTTTTGGGACCCAAAGGTTGGTTTTTGGTGAAAAAATAAGGAAATCTTTTGTTAGGGTTTCCCTGTTTCTTCAGATTTATTTCTCATCTGGGCTCGGGGTTTCCACAATCTTCTTGATCTTCCTTGGGCGTGGGTTGAATTTTTTTTGTTGATTGAATCTGCAGGGTTTAAGCAGAGGTTCCTTTTGTTATTTCCGCGGTTGTTTTATTCAGATTCACTCTACAATGAAGTGAGGATTTCAGAGAAAAAAAAGAAAAGTAGAAGAGGTCTTTGAACTTTCGCAAGGTACAGTCTTTTACTTTAATACCAAGTCTTCTCCTTTTTTTAAGAAATCTTCGAAACCCTCAACAGTCTATTAATTGCAAATCTGAATCTGGCTTTTAGGGTTTATGCTTCATCTGCACTGTAGGTGTGCTAATCAGTCTAAAATGTTCTTTTTATCCCTATAATCTTACTAGGGTTTAACCATAGAACTCTGCTTTCCCTGCTTAAAACCCCTCTTTGTTCATTTTCTATAACTGGAGAAAAGAAAGAAAATTTGCTATGGAGAGATCCATTTGTGAAACAAGGTTTTGTTAAGTTACTGGCTGGAACTTGGGAGATATTGCCATTAGAGTGCAATCACACTTCAGTATAAAACACTAATATTCCGAGTAGGGCCTGTGTCTACTGTGTATTTCTTTACATACGTTAGCCATGGAGGTCCTGTTGCTGTATAAAGTAGTTGAAAAATTAATTTGCTTTCAAGACAACCGTCATGCATACATGTGTCATTGCACTTGCAGTTCTTGGATTTATTTAACCAATGTTTCACCGGCATGTATAATAATGCTTCTTTGGTTTGTATAATCTTGAGAACAGTTTTGAGTACTCTGGACCACATAGAGAAATGGTTCATGTGTATGTGTGTGTGTGTGTATATATATGACACTATAACATAGTATATACATGTGTGAGTGTGTATGTTATATATAGTAATCCCACATTGGCGTTTTCCGCATGGTTTTTTGTTAATTTACCATTAGATCTCCTCTACTTCCTTGCCCCTGCTTGGACCTGTTTCTTTTGAGAGAGAGAGAGGATAAAAACAAGTATGGATGTTGAATTATTAGCATGTGTCATGTGTTTGCAGAGATCCAGTGGCTGCAATTCTTTATTTGCTCTGTTCCCCGACTTGTTTGATTCTGCAGCAGCACATTTTGACCCTATAGCCCCACAAGAAAAGCATCAAGATTTATGAAAAAAATAATTGAAAAAAAGAATTACAAAGAAAAAGTAGATCGGTTCATGGAAAGAAATGGCGTATCCTCTACTTGTTTATTCTCTTGTGGGCATATCTTAAATAGTTGATTCCTCCTTTTCATTAGAAAAAAAAAATCACACTTCTTTTGCATGAACCATGATGCACTCATAACCCTCTAGTATTTAATCAATGTCAATGGATATCTAGGTGTATATATGAGCATGTTTATACATTCATATACATGTATATGTCTCTCTTTATGACCAAAAGTGTATGGTGTTTGCTGTTACTGTAATAATCTTTACTTTCAGCTTTTCCCTGAGCTTCTTCTTGAGTATCCTCTTTGTCCTTACATCTTTTTTTTTTCCATTTCCTTTTCCTCCATTCTTTTAGTTTCTCAAGAAAGCAAGTCCTAGTCTTCTATTGTAGAGAATATTACGAAAAGAAGCTTGGCCCTCCATTAACGGTCCTTGATCCAAGTATTAAAGCTTCTTGCTTTTTTTTTCTCCCTTTATGTTCGACTTGCACATCATTGCCTATCTCAAATCATTCTCCTCTTTGATCCTTTATCGTCTCTTTACCATTTGTTGCTGTTTTATTTTGAGGATTCTTTCTGGGGTTATTGTCTACCTGTTGATACTGTCTTCTGTCTTGCTGAAGTATTAGCGAACCTATCTGCAGATGGAGTCTGTGAAACCAGTGGCTATTACTCCGGCAAAGGGAAAACTTAGACGTACATTTGCCAAAGTTCTTAACATCCATAAGTTATCAGGCGTTGCTCCTGAAGACGGTGTTGAGAAAGCGAAGAAGAACCAGGAAAAGGTCAAGTTCGATCAAGACTTTGCCAAGAATGCTAATCTGTCTCAGTCGTTCAACAAGCTCGAGGAAGAATACGAGAAAAGACTGGCCATGGAAGCACTTCTTGCGAAGCTGTTTGCCACGGTTTCTTCCATTAAATCAGCTTATGCTCAGCTGCAGCATGCTCAGTCTCCATATGATTCTGATGGGATTCAGAAAGCGGACAACTTGATAGTATCAGAGCTGAAGACATTGTCCGAGCTGAAACAATGCTTCTTGAAGAAACAGCATGACCCTTGTCCTGAGAGAACTCTGGTTCTTGCAGAAATCCAAGAACTGCATAGTCTCTTGAAAACCTACGAGATCATGGGGAAGAAGCTAGAATCTCAGCTCAAGCTCAAAGACTCGGAGATTATATTTCTGAAAGAGAAGCTGGAGGAACCCATCAAACTGAACAGGTTGCTGGAGAAAAGGCTGAACCAAAGCGGTCAACTTTGCAACCCTCTGGACAATCTTCACTTTTCGGGGATAAACCCTACCCATTTCGCCACTTATCTTCACCACACGGTGAAATCCATCAGGGGTTTTGTCAGGTTGATGGTTGAGGAGATGAAACTCGCAGTATGGGACATAGACATGGCAGCAAACTCCATACAGCCCGGCATGTTCTATTACAAGACTCACCACAAGTGTTTCGCTTTTGAGCACTTTGTCTGCAAGGTAATGTTCGAGGCATTCAACCTACCATACTTCTCTGGTTCAAGCGAATCTTCCCGCAAGAAGAAGATCAAAGAAGATAGGCAAGCGTTCTTCGAGAGATTCACCGAGCTTAAGTCCATGAAAACGAAGGAATACTTAATGGCACGACCCAAATCAAGATTCATGAAGTTTTGCCGTTCAAAGTACTTGCAGCTCGTCCACCCGAAGATGGAGGAAGCGTTCTTCGGCCATACCCACCTCAGGAACCAAATTAACGCGGGGGAATTCCCCGAGACGGGTTTCGCCACCGCGTTTCTGGAAATGGCGAAAAGGGTCTGGCTCTTGCATTGCCTGGCTTTCTCCTTCGAGCCCGAAGCCTCGATCTTTCAAGTCCCGAAAGGTTGCAGATTCTCTGAAGTATACATGAAGAGCGTGGCCGAGGAGGCATTTTACTCGCTGGATTCTGAGCCACGTGTCGCTTTCACAGTGGTTCCCGGCTTCAGGATCTGCAAGACTTTGATACAATGTGAGGTTTATCTCTCTAACTCGTAGAAATTGGTCGACAAGCTTCGACCCCGGTGACCGGAGGAAAATACCAGGGAGGGCAGTTTGGTAAATCTGTAAGACGGTAGACATTTTTGCGAGGGAAATGAAAAATTGTGGACCGTTGGATAAAAGGAACAGGAGGTAGCAGGAACTGTGTTTGGGTCTGTCTTTGGTTTTTGTCAATATTAGAACAGAGAGTCAAAAGGATTCCTTAGCTGTTCTCCACCATTATCACTCTCTTCTATGATATATATGTAAATAATTCATAATAATATATCAAGTTCTTTTTCTCTCTATTTTTTATTCATTATATATATATATATATATAATGGTGGTGTCTACTGTCCAGCATTATGTCTCCTTGTTTTTTTATTGATCTCTTCTATTTTTTTTATCTTCATTTGTTAATTTGGTATATTTTTTCAATTTGATATTATGGAACGACATGTTTACATGTTATGTTTTTTTTTTTAATTTGGCTATCACACCCTTTTTTTGTGTTGAACCAACGTTTGATATCAAATTGTTTTAGTGATACTCTATCATTTTATAATTTGGAAAATTACCGGATCTTTAGTCCAATTATATCTCTCGTAATCTGGAAAACCTACGTGAATGTTTATCCCTAAACGAGGATTCGAACCCGAGTTAGGAAGTAGTTTTACTCATTTTTTTTATCGGTTTGAGTCAACCAAATTTGTTACAACAACATATGATGTTTTTTTTCTTCTAAAAAAACTTTTTTTTGTATAACGTATTTGTATTAATTAGAGAAGAACATTTACCACATCAATGCGATCGATGGTTACCAATACCCTAAAAGAACATTCCCAAAATACTTCTTTGATAGGAAAACTAATTATACTTCTATAAAAATCATATTCGTTGAGTTCTAAAATTAATATTTATAAAAATATGGTTACAATTATTGATATATCAAGCTTATCTTATGTGAAAAAAAAACTAACTAACCTTTTTAATTATATATTACTAGCTGTTTTCATAAACAAATTAGGAGAGTTTCAAATTCTTATCATTTTATCATTATCATTTTTATAGACATGATGAATTATTTGGAAAGAGAAAAGGAAACCAAAAAATAAATGTTGATGAAAGAGTAAAAAAAAAACAGTGTATTTGAATAGAAAAATGTCATAATCTGTCGGTCTAATTGAAGATTTCGAAATTGTAAAATAAAATATATCATCTTAAATTAGTGACTATGTTTCATTTCCATTTTATTTTATGTAATGATAATAACAATATAGTTTTTATAACTGGACATTTTAGAAGGAAATAAATCAATTTTAAAAATATATAAATATTAAAACCATCAAAGGAATCAATTACTTCCACATTTTTCTAACAACAATTTAATTTATAGTCTGCAGTAATAAAATCATAATAGTAAACAAAAAATTCAATCTGATTGATACAGCGGACATTAAAGTTTGAGAAAATTGACCAAATTTCGATAATTGAAATTGATTCCTACAAGGACGCAATAAAGCACCGACTTATATTTGCCATTTGGTAGAGTGATGGATGGGACGTGCATTTAATGTTCCATTCCATAAATTTAAAATAATTATATTTGCTGAATTTAATTTAATAACCTCAATTTATTTTATTTATATTTTTATTCCTAAATCGGCCTAAAAGCCACCGACCAAATTCATCGAATAAATCTCTTGGGCCCATCTTCCATATCATGTTTCCATTTTCCCATGGACCCTATCCCTCTACGGCTCTACCCGAATCCCGGTTTGGATCAAACCGTCATCTCTACCAAACCAAACCGGTTTGTGTTCATGGTTCGTCTTCCTTGACCCGCACGCAAACATAACATGAATCTCTTATAAATTCGCAATATAAAATTCTGACACAACATGAAAAACATATATATATAAGATTCATGGTTCACCTTCCTTGAACCGCACGCAAACATGGTTTCTTCCTATAACCTTCCATCGCTCGAATTCGTTGGAACTCAACGTGAAGGGAGCTCGCATTCTATGTCCGCCGCCTCCGAACTTGTGGGAAATCTTTGTCGTGTCTTCGTCGAAGACACCCCTCATGCTTACTTTCAGTTTGCTGTCACTTTCGAGCTCCTGAACTCTGTAGACAACTTGTGCGTGAAGTCATCATACGCAATGGTGGCTCCACTCCTGTCCATATCCAGAACTTGGGTCACGTTCTTGCCCACCGACGAAACGTCTCCCAGCGTCTCGGCGGCCGTTTTATGGTGGTCGAAGATCACGACGCTGTCGACTTTCCGAGAGATCTGACGAACGAATCCGGGCGGTCCGGTGAAATCCAGGAAGATGGATGGGAGAGTCGACAGTGTTGGGGAAGAAAAGACAAGGGATCGAACTGGCTTTGGAGTAGAGGAGAGCAGCCATGGCGGCGAAAGATCCGTCACGGCAAGGACAGTGGTAAAGCACAGCCATCTTCTTCTTCGTCTCCATGTTCATGATGATTCGAGGTTTTGGCCCCTTCGTTCGTTTAGGAGAAACTTATGGAAAGCAAAAAAAAAAAAAAACATTATTATAAATGTTCATGACTTGATTTGATTTAAATATCCATTTAGGACGAAAATACCCCCGAAGGAGAGAATTCGCCAATGAATATGTGTTTACTGTTCATGCCCCTACGGTCATAAGTTGCTCTCCAGGAAAAAAAAACAACCGATTTTAGATATTTGATTCGATTTACAATTAGATTTCTAAAGATTTGGAAATTCACATGATAACCACAAGAATTCAAAAAAAATGTTTTTTTTTCCTAAATCCGGTCTCAACACACTGTAATTCAATCGAAATTAATTGATATTTTTAGAAGAACATGATGATTAAAAAATAACTATAGAACATTTAAAAAAAGGTTTCAGTCTCATAGATGGTTATAAAAAAAAAAAAGACGTAGAATTAAAAAGAGATCAAATATGAGACGGTAACAAGAGCCTAACGTCACGACTTCGTCCATTGAAGAAGCCGCTGTGAATCCGTTTGAGAGATGCCAAAGCAGATGCCAGAGGCGGATGCTTTTCCCACTCCTCGTGGTCCATCCTGCCCACATAGTGTTCCGATTCCGTCCTGCCCGCGTTCTTCTTGTCTTGTCCCGACAACAGCTTCGCCTTGATGAATTTGGCAACACTGCTGAGCATCGTTCCCTTCTCCTCTCGCTCGAAGTAATCGTACCGCGAGATCCGCATGACGTTCTTCTGTTGCTCGGCCCACCCCCACGTCCGCTCAAGATCGTCATCGATGACAACCACACCGCGTCTTTCGGCCAAGACGTATCGAAGGTCCTTGCCCCGAAAATTGTTCGAGATCACCCGATTTCCGAAATATATCTTCATAGGATCGACTAACCTTATCACTTTCTCAACCTTATCGTGGTCGCCTTTCCCGTAGACATACATCGTGAACAGCTCATTGGCTTCCCGGAGGAACTCCCGGACAAAAGGCCGAAACTTTACCAACGTATCTGCCCAAGTACCTACGATAACGATAATCATATTGATTCTTTGATTTGTCTTACCAAAAAATAGTACCTACGATCGAGGACAATATTGTAATTTAACACATCTAGGGTTTTCATCTTGTTTCCTTTCTTACGTTTGTGTCCAGAATTTCCGGTGTGCCGTTGTTGTCGAGCTCCGCGTCATGTGACATATGTGTGTTATCATTCCCCCTCAAGATCGGACATTGTATCGGGACAAGTTCGATCTTGGAGAGAAACTGATGTAGCGACCATGAAGAAGGAGCTTTAGTGAATATATCGGCAAGTTGCTCCGAGCTCGGCGTGAACATTGTTTGAATCAGACCTGTTGCAATCTTTTCTCGGATAAGTGGCAATCCACTTCAATGTGTTTTGTGCGCTCGTGGAAGACGGAGTTAGACGAGATATGAATGGCGGCCTGATTGTCGCAATGAAGAGGCATGACGCCGTGAGTGGTGATACCAAGATCGATGAGTAGATGTCGCAGCCAAAGGAGTTCGCACGTTGTGTTGGCCATGGCGCGATACTCGGCTTCAGCACTTGATCGAGATACCACGGGTTGTTTTTTGCTTTTCCAAGTGACAATATTGCCACCAACAAACGTGCAATAACCGGTTGTGGATTTTCGGTCATGACGATCGCCGGCCCAATCAGCGTCACAATATGCGGAGATACTGGTGTCCTTGTTTCGAGTCATCCATAGGCCGTGCGCCGGTGTTCCTTTAAGATATTTGAGGATCCGTTCCACCATTTGCCAATGCCAAGTCCGAGGAGCATGCATCCACTGACTCACCTGGTTCACCGCATAACAAATGTCAGGTCGAGTAATCGTTAAATAGATAAGCTTACCTACTGTTCGTCGATATTGTTCGGCATCATGAAATGGTTCCCCCTCATTGTGATCTTTGTAAGACAATTCTAATGGTGTCTTTGCCGGTTTTGCGCCAAGTTTTCCTGCGTCCCGTAGCAAATCTAATGTGTATTTTCTCTGCGTCATGAACAAACCATTAGTATGACGTAATATTTCAATTCCAAGAAAATATTTTAAAAGACCAAGATCGGTAATATCAAATGTTTGTTGCAAAAAAAGTTTCGTAGTTTGAATTCCATGAGAATCACTACCCGTCAAGATGATATCGTCAACATAGACAACAAGAACGATGTTACCGTGTTCTGTTTGGTGAATAAAGAGAGAATGATCGGCTTCACTTCGGACGAAATCATATGAGGTGAGGGCTTGATGGAGTTTATAGTACCATGCTCTCGGGGATTGTTTTAGGCCGTAGAGAGCTTTATGAAGGCGACAAACTTTATCTTTGCCGAGTTGATCTCGCAAGCCCGGTGGAGGAAGCATGTAAATTTCTTCTTCAAGATCACCTTGAAGAAAAGCATTTTTCACGTCCATCTGCCATAACTCCCAATCGAGATTAGTAGCTAAAGAAAGGATAACTCTAACCGGTTTAAGATTGACAACGGAAGCGAAGGTGTCGGTGTAATCCTCCCCATATGTCTGAGTATAACCTTTGGCCACCAAACGGGCTTTATATCGTTCAATTTGGCCGTCACTTCGCCTTTTGATCTTGGAAACCCATTTGCTTTTGACGGGTTGTTTATCGATGGGAAGGTCGGTGATCTCCCATGTGTCGTTCTTTTGTAAAGCTCGAATCTCTTCATCCATTGCATCGCGCCAAACTTTATGTTCCTT